CTATGTACCCTTTTAATAGTTTCAAGAATGAAATCAATTATACAAGTTAATTTACAAATGGAGTATAAATAAAAAGCAGAGGTGAAGTTTCTAAACGCACCTTCAGCTTTCTCCTTGAGGTGTTGGTGCTGGTCCAGCAGACTGATGTTAGATCGTGGGCCAAGTCCCTCTTCGTCGTCTCGGTGTTCATTCCTGCCATCTTTCAGTTCTTCTTCCGCCGGTCCCTTTCCTCGCAGCTGCAGCAACTTCTGTAGCTACATACCCATCAGAAGTGGCTCCTTAGTCCTTACAAAGTGACACTTCACCTCATTGTCACCCTTTGCAAAACACCTCAAGACCCTCATGTCAGAGGATGCAGTTTTGCAGTTTCCCTGCAGTTTTGGTTTGACTGAATGCAACTGAACAGCATCTGTATCACTGCTGATTATACACTCGTTCAAAAGCTCAAAAGCAACAAGACTGCAGGACAGATGACTGGATGTGTGTAGCGCCATCAAATGCACAGTTTGAGTGCAGCGTCGTCATTAATAGCAGCAGTTCAGGGCCCCCGAGTGCTCACTCCCGCTACAGTACAACTGTCACTTGCATCACTTGCAAGTAAGTCCTGCCTTCCAAAAACAGAGGCTGGCGCTGCCATTCAGCCGGTCCTATGCCCTCTCCGGGCCGACATCCCCATCTGCTGCATGCAGTCTTCTGCCGCCCATCGGCCCCCATGAATGATCCATAAATATTCCGTATTGTGTTTGTTGTCATACTCAGTTTCCTTCACTGGTCTGCAGTAGGAGTACCAGTTCCAAACAGTATTGAAACATGCGAATAAGTCTGTGTAACAATGGTACACAATCAGCATCCTGTAAAGGACTAATTAAGAGGGGAGTCACGTTAGGTACGTCGAGCAAGATGGCGGCACGTCAGATGAGCTCAGCTCACCCACTGATATATTCTGCATATGTATCTAATGGCTGTCCACGACTTTCAGTGAACTCACCTCTGCTGGTATTGTTCCATACATTTGAATCACCTGGAAATGGTTTCTGAGCTGCTGCGAGTACGACTACATCGAAGTACTTCAAGGAGGAGTGTCCACTAGAACGAGCCCCACTTAGACAGAGGACCAGTCAACCTCAAATTTACCATGCAAATGCAGGATGCTGGAGAAATGAGTCTGAGGGCATGTTTGACAAGATGAGCGCTACGCGCCGGGGAGAGGCTGCGGATGTTTTGACATAGAAATGACCACCAAGCTGATGGACAAATTACATAATATAAAGCATTTTGACTGCACTTTGCACAATAGTACTCAGTAAGCATTCAAATACATATGATTTTTCAGGCATTTCTATTCATTTCACTACAGTATCCAGGATTAATTGGAAACGTCATGGCCAAAAATAGAGCTGGTTTTGAGCAGAGACAAGATGGTAGATTGTAATCGGGAGGAAATATACACTGAACTAGAACTAGCAAAAGTTGATTAAATATGGGTAAGTCTGGGTGGATGCGACAATGTGACACTTGACAGCTTTAACCCACTCTTTCCCTGAACAGACAACCTCACTATAGAACAGCTATTTGGTTTTGAAAGCTACGCTATGACCTCACTAATGGAAAATGCGAACTAAAAGCCGTTCTATTTGTAACGACGCTGCTGCCCAGCACTGAAAATAAAGTGTGTGTAGGTTGATGGAACAAAACAAAAAAGAAAGAAATATATATTTGTCCAAATGACTTGTGTAAAAGCCACACAGCTAAAAAGAATAAAACTGATCTGTTATTTCAACTAAGTTTTACAATTTCAACTACGTGTTAGTTTCTATGCATACTACTGCAACATAAGTTGTCATTCAGTATAAGGGTGACACCTCTATCCATGTTCTACCACTTTATGTCCAATAAAGGATCACGGTGAGGCCAAACCGTATCCCAGGGAACATGGACAAATTCTGAGGTGCCGATCCATGGCAGGACACACACTCATGAACTCTGGGCAAATCAGAGACACCTTTTCAGATAACTGCATATTTTTGGGCTGGGGGAGGGAAGCGGCCCCCAAAGGAAACCCAGGTCACAGATGGAAAAGCCTGTCACAGATGGGGACAGTTCTGGAGAGGTGCAGCTATGGTACTACTATGCGAGTGGTTTTAGAAACACCTTAAATGTGACATTTCAGGGAAAATATACAGTAAACAAAATATGTACTAATACAAGAGATGATTAATTTGAAAACAAGCCTCACAAATTAAAATGGGATAGGATTTCACCTCCGAATCAACATTAATTTTTTTTCTTGTTACGAAGCCTTTCATTACCTTTTGCTGCTTTTTCAGCTTTATGGGAACATAGGGGACATAGTCCTCCTGATCAGATCCATCTGAGCATGGCTTTTCGTCCTCTTCTAGGTAAATCCTCTGACACAGATCAAAGATAAAAATACATGTTAGTCATACGCTCAATCAGACAGAAAAGGATATATACAAGATTAAGATTAGCTTTATTCAACCCAGCGGAAAATTCCGGTAAATTCAGCAGCAAGAAAGGCAGTACAAGGTGCAGACAGCGCACACAGATTTTAAAAGCTCCGTACCAGGTTAACTGTCTCGCTTAGTTAAGCGTTGTCTCAAAGAACGTCTGACGTGTGGGAATAGATTCCCAAAAGATTGTTCTGTCGGATGACATTCCGCGATCTTACTTCTAATGTCATGAAATAAATATAGTAAAGCCTATAAAAAATGACGTCTCAGCATTCCTATTAATTCCAAAATAGTTCAAGTAAAAGCATACCCATATTAGAAAGGTCAAACATGAAATGCAATGACAAACTGGGAAAAAAATTGTGAAAATATGAACAGGAAGATATTTTTATATTTTGTTTAGTCACTATCTACTTTGAATAGCAAAGACAATATACGGTTATTTGTGCAGAACATTTCACACGGATGCGACTGAAAGTATTTTACGGAGATCAAATAATGCAGAATAACATTATACAGTAAGACACATGAACTCAGCCCAGAAAGTTCCCCGTTGGCTATAGGGATCGAACCAGGAACTTTAGCGGCGTAAGGCGACAGCATAAACCACTGTACCACCGTGCCACTGTATTAGGCAATTGTAAGATATATGTAACTTTCGAATTTAGTCTGTCTGCAATTCATTGCCAAGCCAACTTCCTGGGTTTATTTATGGCCACAGTATTGCTTTTTTTTTTTAAGCGAATACATCTTTGCATTTTTCATACAGCTCCATCAGCAGCGTTTACTCTGCGGCGGAAAAAAACACCGCTCTCGTTTTACAAGCTTTCCGACTCATTTGATCGATCTATCGTTCATCCATTCATTTGGACTTCTTAAATATCGCGGGTGTGCGCACTAAGTGAGACTATCCAAGTCTGTATTGTATGAGACTTGATTAATTAAAGCTGAACGGCGTTAGCGGAATGACATGAGGCTAAGTTTAGAGATGGCGCTAGTTTGAGTCTGACTTTTTCGGGAAAGTCTGGCTTTCTTTAGCTACTTTCATGGAATACCCCCCACAGTTTCCAAAGGTAACATTTCTCCGTGGCGCCCCACCGCAGCAAAATCTTTATTGCCTCAGCAAAAAAATCAATCCAACCAATTAATCATCTAATCAAATGCAAAGTGTTTAGTTACCTGCATAGACAGAGGGAACGTGTTATCACCAAATAATAATAATAATAATAATAATAATAATAATAAAACATGCAATGTAACAACATTTTAAAGACCCATTTTTAAAAAAAAAAATTTTAAAGCTAGTAATGTTTAGGCACAGTAACATTTTCACTCCTGTAGTGTAATGCTTCCAAGTAGCTTGACAAATACTGAAAATACTTGAAAAATACTTACCGAACAGTGGAGCAAAAAAGAACACTTATTGTGTCAGCATATTCAGTAAAATAGTTGTTTATTCCAGTACATAATCTTATCTAACTGCAATTTGCGTTTGCGGATAACGCAGTCGTAAAATAAACAAAAATAAGCCATAAATGTGACACAAACAAGGGGAAGCCCACAAACCTATATTTTATTTATAACCACAAGTACAAATACGCGTATTTATCGCGACAACATTTTAGTAAAAAGTAGTTTGTACAGCCTTTGGTATGTGTAGCTTTTCAACAGTCTTCCGGTCGACAGTGATAATAGGTGTGTGTAGCCATAGCATTAGTACCAATAAATATATGTAAAGTGTGCTGCTTTTAACAATTATATTTAAGCAAATGAACACTTGATACTCAAAATTATCACACTGAACGCATAATACGATCGATTAGTATCAGAATATAGGTACGACTTCTACACAAGTACCTAACATGTTAGTAAATCATAATATACAGAGGCACACATTACTTACTGTTTAACACAGCTTTCAGACATTACTATAATTGGAGGCTGAAGGCTACTTTTGCTAATTACACTGATACAAAACCATCGGTGTACAACTACGTAGTGTTATTTTAAAACCAGATTAAAGGCTTGGAATAGCATCGCAGGAGAACGTGTGTTATACTTTAAGCTCACCTTCCTCGGTTTGTTTTCTGAATCCATCGTGTTTTTCTTCGTTATTCAGTAAAAATGGATGCAAACTTCGTTTTCTAACGTGCCGTTTCCTCTAAGTACCAAAATTACTATAACGACGTGTTTCGCACTGAGAAACGATTCGGTCGCAGCATTTTCTCGTCATAACTACGAAGTCTGATTAGGACAAAATTCAGAGTCGAAGAAAAACGCCAAAAATATATCAACAGCACACGTAACGTTTTTCTACATACATTCAAACGTTTAATAAGATATTCTTTAAATTATTTAATACTAGACAGAATGTAATATTTATACGTCTGAATTTTCTAAAGTGTATTATTTTTTTAAATTAATGCAGTATGTAGCAAAATTTCAGTAAAAAAAATAGATGCTGCATTAGAAGAAACGTGACTTTTTTTTAATTAAGCTGTGAAGTGGAAAAAAAGCAAACACCACACATTTTTCCAAAATGGTTTTGTTTTAATCTTTCAGAATGAAAGATTTTTCACAGTATCAAAAATGAATAATAAAAAACAGACAGGCCAACATACACTTGGCCTTTCATGGTATAGTATAAATCTACATTCCAAACCTTTAAGATAATGTCTTGTAGTTTCATATATCCAGGATAATATCAGATACTTTTGTGAAATATGAAAAACAAATTCAACAGGTAAATTAAAAATCTTTAAAACTCTTTTGTCAGATGCAGAACAACTTCCGTGTAACTAACCCTAAATCCCAACCCTCACAACCCATGTTAACCTTGTTTCTTCTCTGAGGGGGACCGCCCAACTTTGAGACGGCAGAGCACATGACATTTCCAAGGGCATCAAGAACATCGAGACTCCCTGGTAAATGTAGCTGTTTGTACCATATTTCAGAAGCGAGAAGGAAGAAAAAAACTTCCTATGATGCGAGTTGAGGAGCTTCTCTAATATCTAAGGGAGGCACAGTATGTATAATGAAATGAGGGATTGAGAAGCGAATACCGTTTAAAAATTCTGCTTCAAGTGCTGAAAGGAGGAACACTTTAGTCCCAAGTCATCAGAGAGTCAAAAGGTCACAGTCCTGAAGTGCACCGCTGGACTGTGCCTAGGTACTCAACTGGAAACAAGCTTGAACTTGTTCACAATGTAAGCTTATGAACATATTAAACACTTGATAGGTGACAAGCTTGACTACAGTCTAGAGATTTTAAATAGGTTAAGTTTGAAGTACTTGATATTGTTTTTGCTTAAAAACATCATGCAAACTTCAATGTTTTTGCAGTAAATCCATGACAAGTATTCACTAGGAAATAAAATCATGTTAAAATTAGTGTTGCAATTTTGTCAGTTGATTAAAAAAAAAGTTAATTGCAGAAGAATGATGGCATTTCATAACAGAACAAACTGTGGTATGTGGCTCGTGTTACGCCAATCCTAATTTCATTGGTTCTCATACAAATTCCATAATAGTTCAGCAAATTCATCAATAGCATGTGCCTCTCTAGTATGGGATTTACAACCCTTACATAATGCACAGCATTAAATTTTACACGCAATGAACATGATGACCATTGGCGCACAGCTAGTCAGCCCAGCACTGTTCTGATGTTATGAACGGGCCACATATGTAACTGACAAAAGGATGAAGTTGTAGGTTTTGCTTGTAACTAATAAAATTGCTTTCTTCGGTTTAAATCGTGTGAAATTTGTTTTCTTTTTTTTTTTTATAAAGGATTTCTCAAATTCTCTACACTATTTTATTTAGGGGAAAATGCATAAGATCATCAGAAAAAAAATGGCATGCTATACTGGAAGTGTGAATGAGAATTAAACATGTAAAACAAGTTAACGGTGTGTAGCCCAGTTTTTCGTCAGAAATGCCACATTGGCTATAAAATGTTAAATTTAATATTACAGTAATTGTTCACAGAAATGGACTACCAGGTCTGTAACCAAAGACATGTTATGGGGGTTTTCCAATAAGCACATCTAATCATGAAAGAGGGGGGACCAGGGAGAGTCTGGCACGCGGGTAGAGCCATAGCTGTGGACAGGTGACCGTTGCATTGATACATAAAAGCCAGTTAAAATGTCCATAAAACATCCATCCTTGGACTTCCTGGATCCGCCCAGTGACCCTCGGCTGGTTGAAGGAAGTAGTGGGAATCTGCATCACAGAGAATATGTGGCCAAGCTGGTTTTGGTGGGACAGCCCTGCTGAAAGGTTGGGTCTCTCTGCTCACGGTTCCTCATTAAGGAGCCGTGCTTGAAGGAACCTTTTTGAGACTAAAGTTGGACCAGTTCACAGCCACCTTCGGGCGGGTCTGTTTTGCGGAATCCAGGCAAAATCTGGAGAAAACAGAGGGGAGAGGTTTAGCTGTGGCCTCACAGACTGAGTGTCATAAAGCTTACAGTGGGCCTGAAAGAAAATGTATGACAAAACAATGCATACCAGAAATGCCATTGCTACATAATGAAGTCATGCACAAAACAAAACTAAAACCTTCAATCAATCAATGACTTCATAACATGAAGCCCGTATCCTATGGTGCTGGTCCTCTCCAATCAGATTAGGGTTAGATTAAAGATCACATCCTTCTTATTTGCCATTTGTACAGGTACACTGGTATGCTTCTCCCCTGCCACCCAATCTTGCTCTCCACGAGAGAGACAAACAGGTGGGAGCAGGCTAGGAGGTCGCAGTGCTGTGCTGGGTCCCTGGAGTTGGGGCTTGAGGGCCTTGCTCAAGGGCCCACGGATATGTGACTATTCTGCCATGGCTGGGCTCAAACTGGTGATCCTCTGATCATAGGCACAGGGCGGAGCCACTCGGCGTCCAATCATAGCGCTCTGGCGACATTTCGTTTAACAACATCTCTCAGACACTCAGTATCGAAGCACAAACAATATTAAGATGGGAACAAACTCTCCCCCAAAGGTAAACAGACAGAAGAGCATTCAACCATTATGGTGAATTAAAACCTTCACACTAAACTACTAGGCTTGCCAGGAGTTTCATTTAATCTCCATATGACAGGTACACAGTTAATAAGACCCCCTTTCTTACTATCCCCTTATCATCCCTGAAGAGACACTAGAGAACATCTGAAAGTAACATCATCCTTGACGGTATCAATTTTTTTTTTTATTGCTGCACCCTATAAAGACTATAATGGGAAATGAAATAGCTTTACGATAATTAACATTAGATCTTACTAAAAATTTTATTTATATAACTAAAATGTATTTGTGAAACAAGGACCGCATGCCCCCACGCAAGGTTCACCGCATCCTGTCAAATCTAACAGCAACAGAATTAGCTTGGTGAGTCAAACGTGGCAACTGCAGCGAACTTGCACCCAACCTCACCCAGAAGATTACAATTCAAAAGGAGCTTAGGGTCTCCAAACTAACCTGAACATGGGCGTGAAAAACACTGGAAGATCCATGAGAACACAAGGAGATGCACTCAACATACACCAAGATTATGTTAATTTATTCTTCGAAAAGCAGCCTGCCAAATGATCCTTGTTTAGCGTGATTTTGGTGAAATAAATAGTAATTGCAATTTACAATTTGAACAAATGTCATGTTTAAATTTGTTCCCTGCAAAGGTTCTTATTTTGATTCAAACACACAACTAAACCCCTCTTTTATACCCATTAACAGCACCAGAAAATCACAAACTAAAAATAAATCTCAAAATTTAAGATTTTCGAGTACATGAAAGGAAACTTTGCTGATGGGAAAGTGTTTTCCAGCTTCCTGCTGTATTACCTCTTAAAGTATTCAACCTCTCTGTCAATCTCATCCATCTCTGTGGGGTCCAGGTCTTTGGGGAGAAACACATCATCTGAGAAAAAGAGCAACACTCAGCTGACAGTGTACAGGAAACAGGCGACATCTAGCAGGTGGCAAACCTACAGTAAGGCCAATCTATCTCCTGTTTCTTTGGCTACAATATTTGAAAGGGGTGCTCATTTTTATCATCTTTCCTGATTCAAAGACAATCATCTAGTCAACTGGAAGGAATGATAAATAAAATGGCACAATGCTGCCATCTAGTGAAACACAACTTCATTACAACAAGAAGTACAATCATTTGCCAGGTTTTCTTCACATAGTATTCAGTGATGTTCAGTGATCCCTTACCTATGGAGCTGCCGGACTTGTCAGTCTTATTTTTGTTCTTCCTGCCCTTTCCTTTGGGTTGCTGGAATCCCATTGCTGTGACAGAAGGACCTTTCCCCTCTGATTCTTGATCCATTCTGTGCTGCTTGGAGCCTCGCATCTCTACGTCACTCTTCTCCGACGGTCTAGAGACTGCCGTGCTAGAGGCTCCACCAGAGTTCTGTGCGGGTACCTTACTCTCCTCTGACCTCTTTCCCAAAACTCTGTGCATCTCCACAGAAGAAGGTTGGGACTGAAAGGCCTGTTTGGAACCCAGTTTGGAGCTGGTCCCCAAACCTGAGGCCTTGGTCTGAGTCTCCTTGTTTTTATGCAGTTCATTCGCAAGGGCAGCTTTGAGGACCTTAGTGTTCTGTTGCTCTGGCAGACACTGTTCCTGCTGCTGCTTCTTGCCCTTCTTCACTTTTCCGTTGGAGCCTGTTGAGCATTTAGGGTCTGAAGCCTCGTCCCGTGTATTGGACGTTGGGGCCACGACCTGAGAGGCGGGAGTGGAGCTGGCGAGCTGGCAGCGCTCGGGGGAACGCACACGAATGAGCTTCGAGAGGTTTGGCGTGGCGTGCAACCGCTGGACGTCCTGACTGTTGGGGGCAGCGTCCTCCCACCCATTGAATAAATGGCTTTTGCAGCCACCCAGCGTGAGAGGAGACAGGTCCAGGTCGATCTGTTGCAGATCCGAGGACCCATTGACGTGGGACAGCAGGTGGTTGCCCTCCAAAGTGGCTGCCTTCTTGGGGAAGTCATTGACGTCCAGATTGAGGTCGTACATACTGAAGGAGGCGCGGATTGAGTCCTTTATGGTGTTCTTGATCTCCTCCAGACGGCTGGTGAGGAAGCTGTTGACTCGTTCCAGTTCCAGCTGTGGCCAATCGAGTAAGCGACCCGCCTCATTATCTGAGGCGGTGGGGGTGTCCTCGAGGGGCTCCGGCAGGGATGTGTGGGGGGCGTTACAAGAAGCCTCTGCAGTGCCCTGTTGGGCCTTTTCCTTCTCCTGGAGAAAGATAGAGATTTTTTTTATATAGAGAATGAAATTTCCACACAAAGACTTCTAAAATCCATCAGAAGTGGGGCCCTGAACTTTGAACATTTATCACCTAATATTTGTAAGCCTTATCTACATGCTTTAGAACAGGGCCATTCAAATCACGGTCCTCGAGGGCCGAGCACTGCTGGTTTTCCAGCCTTCCTTTACCTGTCAGTCAGGTGTGAAGCCTCTGACCAATCAGAATCAGTAATTATTAAACTAACTACCTGGGAGAAATGAAAACAAGGCCTGGATTTGGAATCGAGGTCCAGATTTGAAGAACCCTGCTTTAGAAGTTACACTGAACATGTCTATAAAGAGTTTGTGCTTAAATGTTAACGAGCCAAGACAGGCGAGCAAAGGTAGCGTGATGGAGCAGCGAGTCTCTGGCCCGGGAAGGTCCTGCGTCTCCCTAACCTACCTTCTTCTTCTGTTTGTGGCGTGCACGCTTAGGAAGGTCCTGCGTCTCCCTAACCCTACCTTCTTCTTCTGTTTGTGGCGTGCACGCTTGGGAAGGTCCTGCGTCTCCCTAACCTACCTTCTTCTTCTGTTTGTGGCGTGCACGCTTGGGAAGGTCCTACGTCTCCCTAACCTACCTTCTTCTTCTGTTTGTGGCGTGCACGCTTAGGAAGGTCCTGCGTCTCCCTAACCTACCTACCTTCTTCTGTTTGTGGCGTGCACGCTTAGGAAGGTCCTGCGTCTCCCTAACCTACCTTCTTCTTCTGTTTGTGGCGTGCACGCTTGGCTGCCTTGGCGCTGTTGACAGGCTTGGGCTCCGTGCTGTTGATGAAGTCGAGTAACTCGTCTACGTCGCGATGGTCGATGGCGCTGGGCGCGACGGCGTCGGAGTCGTGCCGCTGGGGCAGCTCCTCCTTACGCCGCGTCAGCTGGGATCGGAGCCTCTCCCGGATTTCCGTGAAGTTCCGGCTTGTCGGCGCCGCCGGGGGCTGAAGAAATCGTGTTATTCTCAGCATGCGTCCTATTCTTAGTCAATATTTCGCTAAAACCTGTCATATTTGGGCAAAATTTCCTCTCATACATGTGCCTGTAGCGGAATACTGTCATCGACACACTAGATACATTAACATGGTTCAAACTTGTACATGCAAAGGTTCCGGTACTTACAGATCTGCTCATATATAAAACTCAGCTGAAACATAAAAATCTGGGTACACATTTAGTGATGAGTGCCTAGTATCAGTTAGCTCAGTGTAACACAAGGGGGGGCGCCTTACCGCGTTGTGACCAAAGAACTCGCAGTAGCAGCAGTCGCAGTACTTCCCATCCTTCTGGTTGGTGGATGATGAGGCACATGAGCTCCTCTCAGAGCTGCTGTCCTCGTCCTCCACCTCTTCCACTTCGCAAGCAGGGTGACATGCCGTCCCATTCGGCAGCTTGTGCCCTTTACACGCCTGGTCCCTGTAATGCATAACGACGAGTACCAACAATGGACATGTTTTGTAAACTACCTGGTTAAGTAATAATAAATAATAATAATACATTTTATTTATAGGAGCCTTTCAAAGGGACTCAAGGATGCCTTACAAAGAGTAAAAACAAACAGGCAAAACAAATTAGCAAAATATCTAGGCAATAAAAAAAAAGACATAGCAACAATTATTAAATCAGTCAAGTAAAATAGCGAAACAGTGAAATAAAGTAACAAATACTGTTATACACACACACATATTTATGCAACATTGTTTCACCTGTGTCACATGGGCAGACACTGCAGAAAACAGTTTTAAAAAAAATAAATAAACGTAAAGTGTAATCCATCCAGGAAGTCGCTGCCGCTTTGTCACACTAACCTGCAGGCTGCAGCAGACAAGTGTCCCGCATTCGAAGAGCTGACAGCTGCATTGCTGTGGCCGTTGCATGGGTGGCTGCACCCAGAGAGGGAAGCACCAAGCTTAGTGTGTTGGCTGTTGACAGCAGGAATGTGGGAGTTCTTGCACACGCCGGGCTTCAGCAAGGAAGAGGGGCTGTCCGGACCCACCGACAGCTTAGACACCGGCACGTGGAGGTTTGGTACCAGGGGCGTGAAAGGGGCGTGTGCGGCCAAAGTGGAGCCGGGCGGGGGGGCGTGCGTCTGCTGGCCAGAGGCCGCTTTGGGCGGGAGGAGAGATGGATGGTGGGAGGACAGGCCTGTGGGACTGTTCGGTGGCACTGCTAGGTCTGGGTGCTGATGGTGATCACTGGAGTGAAAGGCTTCGCCTGGAAATCAGTGGAAACGTATTTACCCCGGAGCCGCACTGGGACCGGACGCCAATAAGGCGGGAATGAATAAGACTTTCACCTGGAGGGGTCGGTCGGCGGCACATTGTCTTGAAGTGCTTGGGGGTGGTCTTGCAAAGGTCAGAGGAAGCAGAGATTGGGGACCCGGGAGACGTCACAGAGGAAATCTGGGACGCTGGGTGACTGTAGGGGCAGACCTTGGGCCCTGCCGACTTGGCTGACTTCCCAGGTGCCTCGTGAGAGGCTCTTTTTTCATGGCAGGTTGGTCCAATCGTTCCACCTGGTACAAAATAAAATACAGTTAATTACGGAACAGAACCACTAAGCCAGCTGTCAGGGAAGAAAAAAAAAAAAAAAAAAAAAACCTTAACATATTCTTGATTTGTTTTAGAAACAGGTTTCCGAAACAGAAAAAAAACACACTGGTTTTACCAGTTACACAAGTCTATCAGAGAACACTCTTGACATTCTCACAAGGTCATTCTAACACCGTCATTCATGTTCTCAGTGCACCTTTCTGACTGACTAACATCCCTTAAAATAAGAGTGGAGAACCAGGAGAGGATGGGGGGTTTACACAAGCGGCCTCGGGCCCAGGGCAGGTGGGCGGGAGCTGGCCGACCTTGCGGGTGAGAAGTGGCACTGTGGTTGCAGAGCGGCGCCCCGTTGCTGTGTGGCGAGTTCCAAAGGCCGGAGAGCTTGCTGGCGGACAGGAAGGAGCTGGGGTCCCACTCCCCCGAGCCCTGCTCTGGGTAGCCATTGCCACAGCTCTGTGATTTGTAGGAAGACGAGTGGGACTGAGAGACCTGTGAAGGTCAGAATAAGGAAACGCCAGGGGGGGGTTAAAGACAGATATAAGCAAAGGATTTCATACATGTCTCAGGTCTCAGAATGAATATGTTCTGTATAAATGATGCAGGATTTTATCATAACATACCCATGTAATAGGGTTGTCACCTTTTAACCAATATTCGAACGTCCGTTCAGACAACATGCGAAATATTCACAGCCGTACTATAATTAACACATTCCAATTTTAAAGCATCACTGTAGCATATAAGCGCATTAGACTGTTTGTTGCAATTTTATTGTTTGCCATCTACAGAGTCCCTAAAAGGTCAGGGTGAGACAATATTTTTTGAAATAGTTCTGCGATCCCTCGCAATACTTTTGCGTTCCCTCGCAATACTTTTGCAATCCCGCTGCACTTGCCCACTTGCTATTTCCTGCAACGTGACAGCAAGGATAAACCTAAATAATACAGACATGTCCCGTGAAGTGAGCTTTAAGCATTAAAATATGGGGGACAATATACACCATGTAGCTTTCATATTGTGTTTTTACATGTATTTATTAATAACTGCACTGCGTCCATTCACCGCCAGTGACTTTTCCGCAGATGAGGGTTATACTCTAACCTGCTTTCTGGAATATTTCAGTATAGATCCGCATGTCCCCACACACATCATCTATGAAAGTGGTTTTGGGTTTAAAGCTTAACTATGACACCACAGTAAAGTTAACTTTACATTCAGTTTCCCGGCTGCAATATCTTTCACTAAAAGCAAGCAACACCCGTTGGTTTTCCAGATTTCTTTACGGGAGAATTTTAATTAATATTTCAATGAAATGCAATTATTAACAAAAACGTATGCACACACACATATGAAAGTTACATGGCGTGCATTGTCCCCCACAGGTATTCAAATATATTCACACGAATTGAGTGACATTTGAAATTCCTTCGAACTTGATTTGTGGAAAAAGTGACGACCCCACCATGCCAAGCGCCTGGGGGCAACGGTTGTGAAAGGTGCTACATGAAAATGAACCAAATTCAATTTGTTTTGGTGGGGGGCACCTTGTTATTTAAAACACATACAAAAGCAGCGACAGCTGTTTTATAAGTCAGTCAGGAAAGGACACGAAATTGCATTTTCCTCAAGACGTCGATAAAACGTAATTTTCTCGTTGTAATGGAATCATTCAGAATTTCACTAAAGAGCACAAAGGACGTGCACCTCAGATTCACCACCCAACACTGCTTTTAAGTTTAAATTTCTTTAGAAGAGCCTAAGACTCAATTGCAGCACAGAAGCCCTAATTCCGGTCCTGTAGAACAAGTCTGCAACACAGTTTACAGATTTCCCTGCTCAAACACATTTCAATCAGCTAATTACCAGGTTTAGCAGTTGTGTGTGAGCAGGAAAATCTGCCAACTATGGGGCAGCCTGGCCCCCCGAGTGTCACGGTCCTCCTTACCGGCAGCTCCTGGGCAGCCTGACGCTCTTCCTCCTCCACGCTCTTGCGGCAGCTGTGGCAGATCCAGAGCGGCACCTCGCCCAGCAGCGACTGCGACAGCGAAGGCACGGCGTCGGCCAGCTTCCGGCCCGGCGCCTCGCGCAGCAGGGCCTGAGAGAGCGCCGGGACCGCGTCGGCCAGCCGGGCCCCGGGGCCCGGGAGCCCGCCGGTGGGGCCCGCCCCCCAGTCCTTGAACTCGCGGTGGCAGATTAGACAGCAAGTGTGCATGGGCTGACTGCTGGAGAGAGGCGGCGTCTGCAATGAAAAGGAAAGGCGGCATCGTGTCAGCGGCTTACCCGGCACGCTCAGACGCTACGCAGCAGTGACAATTCAGCCACCACATGTCATGGTAGACACTCGTGCACCAGATGGGCTACAGGTCCAAACGGGCACTCAGCAATGTTCAGCCTGCTTTTAGCAAATATTTAGTAATTACATGGACACAAGGCAACCTGTTATCCCCTAGACTGTCTGCGATCTATAACAGAATCGGGGGGCTATCAGTTGCCACCATATAATACCTAAAGCATACATCTGTGCAAAGCCTCCTAAGGTAGGGTTAGGGCATGGAACCTGCAGATAAACATGGATGGAACAAAGACCGCGAGAGAAATGCGAAGGAAACAATTAAAGGGGAAAGATGAGGAAAATTAAAGGTCAAATATCTGATGTAAACCAATCATTGTGAAAATGTGCAAACAGTACTTGACCATTATTAAAAATGCTAAATTACCGGCACTGAAAGGTTTAAAAGTGACCGCGAGAGACGCAAAATTCCACAGTCACAGAGTAACATGGAAGTGGGGCTGGAGGCCGAGAAAGTTGCGGAGTGTATCCAAGCCAAGATGCGGAGATCCCACAGTTCTTTTTGCTCAAATTTTTTAACCAAAAATGTATACATTTTTAAGCTTACCAGTTGTCCAAAAAACACTGGCATTTAATTGTTCACTGCCCACTCATAAATAACCAAATGTGTGAATGTCAAATCTGGACGGGCAACTGTATCTCAGATGCCAAGGGCACATGGGGAAAATTCGTTAGTATGAAAATTCATAAGATCGGGAGTGCGGGTAGAGTTCCTTCAGAGTCTGAATCCCAGACCGCACAAGCCAGACAGGATGGACAGCCAGGTTACTCTCTGCCCGACAGCAAGTCCTCAGTGTGCTGGGTGCGGCTGAGCGACCAGTACTCTCCTTCAAGTGAGGCCTGTTACTTAGTGAAGCCTGCAGGTCACGGGCTGAAAAGGAGCTGGTGGTTAACAGCACACACAGATCAGAGGCCCACCAAACCGCCAGAGCTACCATGCACTGGGAGAGGCTATTTGGCCATGGCTAACTGGTGAAAGCTGAGATTTTTTCAAATTTATTTATTTATTTATTTATTTAGAGAGAGATAGATAGAGAAAGTTTTTTTTTTGGAGAGGGGGATAAAGAGGCTTAAGCATTTCTAGTTCTCATTATATTCAGTCAAAATTAATTAGGCATACTAGAGGACTACCAATAAGTCTAAAAATTAACGGTAAAAATCAATCCGGTGAACTGCATGGTCATTTCCATACATAGACAAAAGTAAGAAAAAGATTAACTGCATGACGCACAAATCCCGAAAGCCAATGCTGCAGAAGCTAAAAGAACATTCCCCGAACAGCATTCATACACTCTTCAAACATTTCCCAACTTTGAGCAGCAGGTGGTTCTTCGTAAACCATCAAAATAAACCATTGTTCAGCCTTCAGGACTCAACTTTTCCTTCTCTGATACATTGCAGAATGCAAGAGTTTTTGAAAACGGCATGAACCAGCGTTATACTTGAAGTCAAATGAAACGGGGACAACGCCGGCCCTAGACCTTGCGCTTTTGTTTCTCACATCAGATACGCAGTTACCGATTCCGATGAACTGAGGCGTACCTCAGAGCCAGGCTACGATAGCACTCTCAACCTGAATTACCCTGAGCTTCTCCCCCAGAGGGGAGAAATGTTAGAATACAGCTGACAAGCCAAAGAGGACAATCCTCATGACGATGCTAGACTTGCGCAGGTGCTGTCCGGCTCCGTGAATCAGATACATATGCAAACTAGTGACTCTGCGAGTTCAAAGCATCCGAAACTGTCTTTCCTGTTGAGGAATAAAATGAAATATTGCAGAGTTTTAACGATTCTTCAAACTGGTCTGAGACCAGATTACTGTGGTCCTGGATGCAGATCTTGGCAAGGGGAAAGTATGAGAAGGTACAAGATTCAAATACTCCTGACATCATTTCAACCACGTTACCTCTAAAACCAAGCAGCTTCATGGATATCAGGCTTTGCTCTTTCACACTTATCTACCTGCCTGACCTATACACCTGTCTGCTGCTTCACTACCTCACATTGCTGCCTTCCTTCCAATCTACACCTCCAATTTCCCTTCACACCATATCACTGAATTAACTTCCATTAAACTCATGCAAGAACCCAATAATTAAAGACATCTGACTAACATTTACCCTTAAAACTGAAAGTGTTTGACAGGTGTGGCAAATTTTTAAATATGCAAATCCCTGATTAAAGTGAAGCAGTGATTCCTAGTTTAAAACTGGATGACACAAAATACCACTGAATCAAAAGTCACAATGTGGACCATCTGTCCTATAGAGAAGGATGACAGAATATTAGGCCAAAACCACACCGAGATGTTCACTGGGAGGACATTTCGTCCACATTTATACTGCGTTTATTTCAAAATAAAATTTTATATGGGGTCATTACACAAATTTAACAAATCACCATTTTTGATTTTGATTAAATTTGATGCTTGCAGAGTACATACACCTTCCTGAGCTCAGAAATATTTTAATTCCTTTTGAGATATAACTCCTTTTCCACCAGTGTAGCAAATAAAAAAAAAAAGAATAATTCAGAATGTAACCTTATGTAACCTTTTTCCCCATCATAGTTACATGGCTCAACTTTTTGATGGTGTAGTTCAGCATACGTAACCTAACAGACACCATATCCCGGCTCAGCATACCTCCTACATGCTGAGAACACTTACATTAGCCTAAACATTAACACAAATTCTATTTTTTTTAATAAAGTGCTGAATCTCATGTAATTTATTCAATAATGCACTGAAAGTGAAAAACAGAATAAAACTGAATACCCATCATAAAGTCAAAATATCGCAATATTGGACCATTGTAAATTTGTACATTCCAGAAATTTGTACATTTTTGGGAAAAGTACTCTTTTTGAGCTTTCCAACAAGCCGTAGCTAAGCCATGGGCTGACTTACATACATTGTAATTGCCAATTTATACTAGTGTAATGGGAAGGGTTCCTGCACATTTCCCATTTTTAAATTCCACACTTCTCCGGGTGTACGGGGGAGCTGAGATGGTAAAAGTTGTCACGGGTAGTTTGCCAAGTCAGTGACCCCCCAGGAGGGGTCACCCAGGGCAGCTGCCCCTCCCGCCTTCACCGGCATCCACCTGTGACTAGACAGCACCGCTTCTGCCTGCCACATAGCTACCAACCCGCTTATGTACGAAATGTCAAACAGCTTCACACATACTTTGCATTTCGGTTTCTGTTAACATTTGGGCTCCTTAGCCAACCAGTTGCAATATTTGGGACAAGCCAAGCAGGTGAAAACTTGCATTTCCCCACTGTGAGTTTTGTAAATTACAAGGTAGCCTACATCAGTATCTCTTGCTGGAGATTAATCAAGAGCGCTCCCCACAGATACACCCACACTGCTCGGTTTGGGACGTTACTGTTCAATGTTCGCCTTGTGCACATTCTGGCACTGATAACCAGCTCACATTGGTGATTTCATCAAAAACATTAATAAATTCAGATTTTTCATTTAGAATACATAGTAGGCCATTTAGCCTCAATAGTCTGGAAACACCAAAATATTTCCATACATTCATACCTTTTTCCCCATACCTATCCAAACTCAGAAAACACCAAAGTCAAAATTACATACTTTTCCATACCGTATAGGACGCTTGAACTGCTTTTTTCAGTACTTTGATTTTGGTAAGTAAAAAAAAAAAACACAACATATTTCACAATGAGATACATATTTTATCAGGCTCTGAATGGAAACCAATAGCACATATCCAAACGGCTAATTAATACAAACCAACCACTTGCATCCTATTAAAAAATTTCCTAAAATAAAGTGGAACATTTTTATCAATTCAGACTATTGAAATCAAGAGTATACCTTTCGGGTTTTAGCACTGAGGGAGAAACAGTGCTCAGAGACATAAAAACATTTCAGAACAAATGCAAGTTGCGGAGTTAAGAAACACCAAGCACTTGCTCTGTAGTAGGTCCTGATCCTGCTCTTTTGCGGTACGTTATCCCAATGGTCGGTTTAATTCCAGTCCAAATGATATTAATGAGAGACTTGCAGACATTACGTCCCCTTTAAACACAATATTACACCTGGTGTAATAATAGTAGCTTTAACCACCCACCATCCAGCTACCTAACTAGTTCTGTTCAAAAAGATTTACAAAGATGTTTTAGAGTGAAAAAGCAGCAAACCATCAGATGAAAGCTATAAGTCAAAAGAGACATCCACAATGTTTGCCTGGAAGGAGGTTTTAAAGCAAAGATTCAGGGACAATGAAACACATCAAATGAGGAACTCTGTTGACTTTAATGCTCTTAAACACACCATTAACTTAATTCACTTAATATAATTAACATTGAAACACTCCAGGAGTGAGGGTTTACATGAACACCAGAAAATCCTAAATTACCCATTCTTACATTCTACTATAGTTTTAACCTACTGATATAAGGAATGCACATGTTAGACTTTTGATATAAAGTGGTTCTGGTACTTATTACAGCAGGACAAACCTGGGATTTGAACCAGCAGGACAAATCTTTATGCTACACTGCACACTACCACCTACTGAGCAAAGAAAGAAGCTTCAAAACCCAACTATTTTCTCTATGTGCTGATTTTAGGCTCAGCCAGTGTCACTTAGCTGGCCGGAATCAGTAACCCAAGAATCTGGCCAGTTAGACAGCTGTATAAAATCCTACATGGTCTGCATCCCAGAAGTGTCTTTGCACATAGATACATGATTTGTTAAAAGCTTCTCTACAAGGTATCTTGGCTGCACTGTCTAACCCCCCTAGCTGCTGTCGGAAATTTAAGCATCTGACAACTGCATACCGTCACTAAACATATTCCGGGTGAGACTGTCCATACCACCCTCCGCAGTCAACAGTACTCGAGTGTCTTTAAACTTTCACTATACATACAGCCAATGAAAATGTATCACCACATTGCTTACAGCTATGAAACATGAAAAAAACTGAACAGTGAAGTGAGGTGACTGAATGGTCTGTCGGTCTACTTTATGGGACAGGACCAGATTTGAGGTGTTTACGATTAACATTAACTTTACTGATCGCTGGGAAGAATTTCCGTCCCACAAACAATGCAATAAGAAAAAAAGCCCTCTTTTACTCACACTAAATTAATATTCCACCAGTGATCCATTGTACCTGGAATACTGGATGTTGATGGGTAACCCAAATTTTAGTACCAGTCCTATGAAACAAAAACCAAGCCATCAATTTTGACTAAATCAAAAATCTACACATAGCAGTGAACCTTGAAATCTGAAATTGACGATGTGCCTAGGTCATCAACGTAATCGATTACACAAATATGCCGATTAGCGCTGCGTGTCGATGTATCATGTCCTCTTTAAAGTTCGCGGTAACAAGACGGAAGCACCTAGTATTGAATATTACGCTCTCTAAAAGACCATGGACAAAATGCTGAAAATATTTCAACAAGAAAACCAACAATACAATAGTGTTGCATTTGACCAATACCAATTATTATTTTTTTTTTTTGCCTAATATCACCAAAACCAAAAACCAGGTAACCTCCGAGCCACTCTCCAAGCTGGAGGGGTTGCCAGTGCATATTATGGAATGACGAGACATTTTTATTCTACAGAATATGACAGATTGATATGCCGTCCAGATTTCATAATAAATTATAAACACGTGGTGGCCCAGTACTTTCAGACCTCCTGTAAGTAGTGAATGAGCCGTGCCAAGTCCACCACTATGGAAAATGGCTGATCGCTCAATGAAATTATCTCCATCATTTTAGCTGCTGTGTCTTAAGTACTGGTGCTGCTAACTTTGAATATTGATCAGGCTGAAATACCAGCTGGCGATATCGGCCAAGACTGACACACAACACTAAGGCTGGACGGCTAAACAGATCTTACCTGAGTATGATTAAAATCGGATTCAAACTGCACTAGTTTGTTACATCTCTAATGTTAACTGAACTTAAAAGCTGACTTGACTGTTCATACTGATATCCAACTGACGCTGCACAAGTTTGTCATATCGCCAGTGTTGCTTGAACTCTGTTACTGTCAACTGTAGCCCTTTATTCCTGAACTGGATTCATTTTAATTTGGAGAGATTTTTATTCTGCTTACCTTGTTGCATTTTATGAGACAATAAAATGTTGACACTCTGATGATGTTCAATGTTAATTTTTGGTACTCAATTGTCAATGTTTTTTAATGGCGTAATCACATTTTTATGATTATTTATCATAGATTATTATTTTGTCTGGTTTCTGATTCTTAGCTGCCATAATTTTCAAAAAGTGAACATAAACCAAGGTTGTTGGGAGACACTCGCTGGAAATCGCCTGTCATAGATGTGTATGACAGAAAACAATACCAACATACTGAATTTGCCTGAACGATTTACATGGATAAGCGAGGATCTTTCAGCTATCAGGAATAACACTTAAAGAAGCCAGACTAAAAATAATACTACAGTACACAAATAGCTCTTTTGATGCACATTAAATCTACTTGTCTATGTATGTTAACTGTCATTTTAGCAGTATGAACATAAAAACGGAAAGCTTGCCTGAAGTGTGCAATAAATAAGGGATCGAGTTGTAACGAGGGAGAGTGACAGTAAGGACCACACTCAAAAAATAAGGGATCGAGTTGTAACGAGGGAGAGTGACAGTAAGGACCACACTCAAAATCTGCAACTCTTGCAGCCAAGTCTGGTTTTTCCACTGTAAAAGTCAGTTTTTCGGGGGGAGGAGTTCTTCATGAAAACCTTTGGCATTATTCCAGGTACTGATTACACAGGCAGTGCAATTTCTGGAGAATGTGTGTGAAATCGTACAATCTTTTCAGCACCGGCAAAGTGGTCAACAGCACACAGCCAGAAACATGTTTAAGCGATTCATAACGTACCCATCTTGAGTGGCGTTAAGCTGTTTTGACTGGATATTGTCTAAGCTGTATGAATATGCACAACATATTGTATATGTCAACATGACTTCATTATCCTCTAGACTCTACAAGATTGGTCAGGAAAACCACAAATAAATTAAAGCACACGTGGTAATCTTTGTGTGGGGATTTAAAGAGCCTAGCAGTAAATAAGGTCTCCCCGGGGTATTTCCGGGGAGGCAGTCTCAGGTTAAATCAATTTCCATTGTATACCATAGCCCTTTTGGGTCCCGCGTAGCTAAATGTGCATCCTCCACTGACACATGCACTCGGAGCAGATATACAGCCGCTCTTCTTACATTTTAATGGGCTAATACGGTACTTCTCGGTTACACGTTTCAAAGCTGTCTGGCTAGAACCAAAAGCTAATCTGACCTGATATAACAGGTAAGACACAGGGAAAGTTAACACGCGAAATCATACTGGAAAGATCGTTCAGATTACCATCGCGTTTTGGCAATGACCTGCAAATACTAGCAAAACCCAATTTTATATATATATATATATATATATATATATATATATATATATATATATATATATATATATATATATATATATACACACACACACACACTAGGAGGCTGATACCGCGGGGAAAATATATGCACTTTCATTAAGGAGTGACCTTAATCTTAGATGGGGTTAGCTCTCGCTTAAAAGTGAATCGTCGGCAAAACCTAATAATAGGACAACCCGTTTAAAAACGACTGCGATACTTAATATATACAAATTCAAATATATAATTTAACGGGATGAAATATTCATGGGTTCTAGTGAGTATCAGAGCAGAGCCCCGCCAGCAGGACCGGTCCTAGCCGATGTGGCGCCCTAGGCGAGCATCAAAGCTGGAGCCCCCCCAGTCCGAGGCAAAGTGAAACTGACTGGCAAGTCGGCGCCCCGTCGGAAGTTTTGCGCTCTAGGCGGCCGCCTATGTGGCAGTGTTAGCCAGCGGACAGTGCCCGGTGCAGGTGAGAGCTCAGCTCGTCTCTCCCTTTCATCCCACCCAGGCTGACTGCGAAGCGGCGCGCGACACTGACTGTACCGCGCTGATGGTCGAACGGTAACGGCGGCACGCGCACCGACACCGAAAAGCGGCAGGAATAAACGCAGAAATACGCCGGAGAGTCGGAGCCCGGAGCGTCGAGGTCTGTGTACGTGCGAGCTGAATCCGTGCGTGTATGTGTATGTGTATGTGTGTGTGTGTGTGTGTGTGTAGCGAGCTGGCTGCTATTGTGCTGCTCCGCCCCATACACTATTTCAAACGAGTAAAATTGCACATTCGGTGCCGCTTAGCTCACACTCCGCCAACCTACACAAAACCAAGACGTCAAACTCGCCTTTTACTCAGCCACCGCGAACAAAAACACGGCGGTTAGCAGGAAACGTTAAGCCATTTCGGCTACCTGGTTCGCCCTGGGCAGCCGTTCCAGCCCCGCATCTCCGCCGCCAGCGCCAGCTGCATCGCTGGGAGAGACGGGGTTCTTCGCGGAGCCCTGCTCTCCTGTCACCGGCTCCTTATTCCCCGCACCTTGCTGCTTGCTCTTCTTCCTGGCCATGATACTGGATTTTCTGACACGCAGCCACCCAGTTTTTAGCAGTTTATGCGTGTAAAAGACCACAGTTTCAATTCTCCCAGCACCAGACACAGTCCCAGCCTTCTCTAGGCAAGACAACAGCCAATATGGCGGACTGCTAAGCAAACCGTGGAGTTCAGAGGTCAGTGAGCGTCTGGCAGACGGCCTCGGTGCGGAGCCGCGCCGCGCGCTCTCACCATTTTAGTAAGGGCACCAGCTCACAGGTAAGCGTGTAATCCAGACCGGCAGACGATATATTGCACATGTAAAATATTCCCTATTTTCAACTGAATTCTCCCATTTCTTGTGCAGACATTACAGTGTTGAACGTTGCTTAATATTATTATAAATTTTACATACTACATAAGTATGGCAGCTTCCTCCAGGATTTCGGGATTTAATGATTATACAACTAAGATTTTCCCCAGCACCTGAAGACATGCAGTACTGGTGATTTTTTTATTTTTTATTTTTTTACTTATTTTAAGAGTGCCCTGTTATTGAGGATTTAATTTAATTCCCCATCCCAGTGCCTTGTGTCCCGTTGATGGTTTTGCTAAACCACTACTCCTCTTCCAAAACTGTTATATATTCATACAACAAATACTGGGTGCATGTGTTCATTCCTATCACTGTTTATTTTGATAAAGTACATCTGTCTTCCTCTGGTTTGCTGGATGGCTGTGCAACCAACAGCTACAGCTCAGATTCTTCAAACCGTCATATTGTCATCCCTACCAAACAATCATCCCACTGAGAATTCTACAGTAATCTTGCAACTTTGGTGTCATCAAATATAATTCAGATATTTAACCAGGGTATGCAGTACCCTGTGCTTAACCACAGTTAATATCCCATCTCAGAAGCCTTTTTATATGTTTTTAAGGACATCACTTGCAGTGCAACAACTTCTCTGGTTTTACATTTACTTATTTACTTTGTTTGTCTATATTTGTTTGTTTACCTAGCAAAAACCTTTATACAAAAAAGACTCCATTACAGGTATGGATCGCTTACCCCACTTATCCAGGTATGCTCCACTCCTAAATAATCTTTTTTACACTTTATACACTAAGCCAGATTTTATTTTACTGGGGCAATTTTCGTTAAATGTGTATGGTATGTCGACCTGGGTTGGAACATTTTAATCATAAGCCAGTTCCTTAAACAGTGTGCCACCTGCTGGTTTTCTTGTGCCTATGCACGCTACTCCTCATGTCCACTGCCAGTTGATTGTGAACCATATGAAGTTCAAGACATCATTTTTGGCTTTAGCCCCTATTCCATAAGCATGCTCACTAATAAAGATAAACCACATATTGAGCAACTAAAATTGCTATCAATGAGAGAGCTTATGATGTTTACACATTTAAGCAAAGGTCATAAAGTTGATTTTTGGTAAATGAATTGTTTAGATTCATATTGTCTTGGAAGCAACAAAATAATCAAATAAGAATTCCATGCAAAACAAAACTGCATGTTACAGTTTTAAATAGTAATAACCACAGCAACCATATCACCTACTGCTTTTGGCCTTTCCTAGAATCTAATAAATGTACCACAAACTCAGTGCAACTGCAGTTTGCTTTTACAATTTCCACTTCTGAGTCTGGGGCCTGCCTCTGGTTTTCATTTTAAATAAAATAAGCTATTAACACTAATCAAATTGATTGGTATGGCTATTGTATGTTAAATGTTGATTAACGCCATTTAAACTATTTAGAATAAATTTCATCAGCACATTCACATAAGTGTAATTTAGAACTTTGTAATGATAAACTGCCATTGCATGGCAAAAATCAAGTCAATAACTTAGACAACGCAGTTTAATAACATACAAGTTTACTAAATTAACTGGATCTAGTATTACCGTTAAGGAACAAGCGAATTTGCTTCACTGTATATTTCCAGGTGAGTGAAGGTTAACTACAAAAAAAGGACAGAGGAAAACGATGTGACGCAACACGTAGTCAGTGCTAGAAAAAGGCGTGGAGCAACAAGCAAGTACACGCCAAGGCAGACTAGACGCGAGAAGGACGCACTGTTTGGGATTTTCCCGACCAGCCATGGTCGCCCGTAGGTGATTTGGCGAGAAGTTAGAAGGAGCGCTCATTTATAAGTCTGGTACGGCGGGAATAAGCGTGGTAGAGTTTCGGTGGCGACAATAAGGAATGTATTAATGTCTACCTGTCTTCATAGAGGATATAGTGATTACAGAACTGGCGGACCTGGGTACTGTAAGTCGGCGAAAACTTTAGAAATATATTTGTATAAATACAAAAGATTTAACTTTCAACCCTGCCAGTTTACAATGCGAGTTTAAGATCTAGTTTTAATCGAAAGAGAGAATCTGAAACTTGGATGTTGGAAGAAAAAGGCGACGGCAGGGTGATATGACACGGCGCCTCGTTGAAGTTGACCTGAAGAGCGCGTCGCTGTGCAGGAGAGAAGCGATCAGACCTCCTAAAAGTCCGATTCGGTGATCGGGGGAGGGAAGCGATCAAACCGCCGAAAAGTCCGATTCGGAGGATCGTGGGGGAAGTGATCAGCCTGCTGAAAAGTCCGCCTCGGAGATCGGGGGGGGGCAAATAATTCGCCCAGGAAGGTGAACCGATTTCCCTCTGCCGATCCGCTTGCGCGAAGCTGAAGCGAACAACTTTAACTTGAACGAAACAAAGTACACAATAAGTAGGCGATCACCCCCCCCCCCCGCAAAATGAAGTCTTTAAACAGTCAGCACGGATTTCAAGTATAGTAGGGCTAGTCCAGGATTAGCTTGTTGTCAGCGGTGTCAGACAGCCGCGGTCGAGTAACTAAGTGTGTATAATAAACCAAGTGGCCAACTTGACGGGGGATCGGCCAAATAACATGCTGTCATCTCTCATGAAGCGCTGGTTGTACAGGCCCAAGGTAAGGCTGTGTTTTTTTCTCTCTGACAGAGTTTTGGGATTGCGTCAAAGTTTCTTCTTATTTTCAATCCAGAATCTTCCTGGTAGATTTACAATTACTTGTAGGAAATGGTGACTGATTTGAAAAATTAATTTTGACAAGTTCTTTTTAAATTGTTTACCATGGCTGACTTAGTAGGAGGGTCGTTGTGGGAAATAAAGTTTAATTTCTGAGGTACACTGAGCACCTATTTAAAAGACGTTGCGCGTTAATACATGTAATGAAAAATTAAAACCCAAAAGAGTTTGTATAGTTGAAATAGTTTAAATATTAAAAATAACTTTTCTGTTTTCTCTAATCAGAATAGAGGGGTCATTTTTCTGTTCCAGGGGTAGCTACCTTAATTCCATAGCACAAGACCAAAAAACGACAGTCTGGTTGGATATGTCATTTATGTATGTTCTAAAAGTAACAGTTTAATGCAGGAGTTTGTGTAATCAGTTATGAAATGGCATAATTCAGATTCTGGGTAGGCCAAAGATTTTAGTAACAAAGTTTTTTGTTTGTTTGTTTGTTTGTTTGTTTGTTTGCGTGATATGTTGATATGTGACAAACCTGGAATTCACAACAATGCTGAGTGATGTCAGGCGTTTTTTACTTTTTGTTTAGCCTGGACTCATTATGTAAAACGGACTACGGCCCAGATAGTACAGTGATGTAAATAGCCTAGTGATTGTTTTTTGTTTTTTTTTTTCTCTCCCTGTGGCCAAGTACTTTTAATTATTGGACATCATGTAGGATAGGTCAGGACCTGTGTAATGGCATTCCAGTCGTTCTCGGCTGGTGGTTTGTGAAAGATGATGCAGAGGCTGAATGATGTGTTTAAGCTTGCAGGACATTTGTTGGAGTAGGAAATCGCATACGTTTTTGAACTTCTTAGAAACTTTTTGTGTAATGTTTCTGTGGAAAACTGTGTTGTGTGTGTGTGTGTGTGTGTGTTTCTCCATTTATGAAGTCACTTCCTGCTGAGTCATGGCAAGTTGTACCATCTGGCACACGGAATCATTGTTTGTACTTTTGCCTTATTAAAAATGCTTTTCCTATGAAGTGTATGATTGGAGAGGAATGTATGATTGGTTTCATGTCACAAATATGCTTTTGTTTAACAAAAACTCGGGTAAAAATCCTCTTTCATTTCATCATCTTTCTACTTAACAATCTGCTTGTTTAACACAAGTTTAGTTCCTTAACTGGGAGCATAAGCTAAAGCTGAATCCATAGCAGAAATGTTAACCCGTGAGGAGAAAATGCTTTTTCATACAACTAGACATTTTGGCAAAGCCACAGTGACAATCTGAGGTATGTTGTCTTCTGATGCAAAGCCGGATAAGATGATGTCATTTGTGATGTCATTAAATAATACTTTTTGAGCCGAAAGATTACGTCAACTCACTTAGGTCACTCTAGAAATTGCATACCTTCTTCTGAACACTTACACAGCTATGCTTAATGACTAGGTACCAAGAAGGCTTTTACGCTATATGAAAACTTTTAATTTGGCTGTTTGCAAAGTGGAATGAATTTAAAGAGGAAAATGTAAAACAACGCTGGCTGCGTACTTCTGTAAGATCCACGAGACTCATAAATGGGATGATGACTGAAAGCAGAGGAGTGAGATCTTATGCTTGTATGGCCTTCAGTCTTCACAGGTATACTTGGGAGGAACACTGGAATGCATTCTGATATTGGCACCTCAATGCTATATAAAGTGATTTTTGATGTAACGGAAGTGAATGGTGACTGTGTTGTGGTGATGCACTTCAGTAATCTGGTCATGTGCTGTGTCCTGGGATAGGAGTCTGTCGATGCAGTGCATACGTACTTTCAGCTGTATTCAGATTATTGAAACATGCCTGTGTTTTGTTTTTGTCTGCTGCAGAGGTCTGACAGTCGGCCCCTAGCACAGTTTTTCTTCGCAGACGAGGAAGTGAACCGCATAACGGCAGAACTCAATGGGTTGGACCTGAGGAAAGACCCCCAGAAATACTTGGTTTTGTTAAACCAGTTAAGACAAAGTCAGGTACACTTGCACTGACCTATTGAGAAAAGAACTATCTAAAATATTACTTTGGGTGCATCTTTCTGATAAGGCATTTGAAAAATATTCGACAGGACAACATGTTGCGTTCCATTGAGCTGGTGATGGAGGATTACCTTGCTGGACAGAGATGCAGCCGCGACTACTACATCAAGTTTCCCGACGAAATCC